GAAAATCTGTTAAGTATAGTGAAGGAAATAAAACTTCTGTTTGAAAATTTCATTTCTGAAAGGGAGAAAAAGTGCTTTTAAACAGTTTTGTGGCTTATAAATAACCAATTTTATAGACATTTCATATATCACTCATGTTTCAGTTTTCTGAGCAGTGTCCTTCATGGCAGCTTATTCTTTCAATAATAACACAGCTAATCAATCAAGTAGTGGAAAAGTGTTATCTGTCTAGGTTAGGAACTGACATCTTTGCTGTGGCTGCACTAAATGCAGATGCCTGCATGCACATGCAACAGCTGAGGAGTCAGCAGAGCATTTAAGGCTTCTTTATCAGCAGGATATGCTGAGAAACACATTAATTTCATGCATTCGTGTTTACAGGTGAAGGTATAATGGAGAAAAAATCACTCCTGATCCACATCAATAAAACACACAGATGTAGGATGATGTCAGAATAAGCACAGGGAAAGCATTCTCTCCCTCAAAAAAATACAAAAAAATCAACTTTATGGACAGCTAGCTCATCTCTCTTTGAGTTATAACTGCTTACCACTTATACTCCAATCCTAGTGAATAAAACAAGAGCTTTAGTCAGAAATCAGTGAAGACTGTAAAGTAAACAAAAGATCTAACAAATTTCTCACTGACCACAATGACATTGTGTTTTGAAAATGTATACATAGACAAGATGCTCTAGTAATCTAGATGCTCAAGTAATCTAAGGACAGCCTTTGCCATTACACTTCCTAAGGAAGCAGCTAAGGCAGCACATACTCTTTAAACAAGCTTGTGTCACTTTTCTGACACATAACAAAATTTTTTAAGCTGATTTTTACAGCTACATATTGGGAGTTGATGCTGAGTTTACTTTCAATCCTGCAGGGAAAAAGCACATGTTTGCTTTTGCTTCATGTCTCATTCAGAAGTAATATACTGGGAAGCCTGTGCATGTACAATCTGTACAATCTACCCCATTTTTCTTGCAAAAGACCTTAGAAAGATTACAGATCAGCGTGCATTTTAATGTACAGAAATGTATATAAAGCACACAGATGCTTTGCTTTTATCCTAGTAAAAATGTCAGATATGTTTTTTAAACAGCCCAACTACTTACATCCTTTATGTCAGCAGCAGGTGTCATTTCTCAGGTGCAAAATTAGAGTTCAATTTGCCTCATCTAACATTAGGGAAATTACAGTTTCTCTTTTTTTTTTAAAGACCAAACTTTTAAACCATGACATTTCCAGAGGCCAATTTGTCCCATGAAAAAAAAAAAAGACTGCTGACGCTGTTGTGGAAGTATCCTTTCTCTAGAATAGCTCTATGAGCTCCTGTAATTTCATTTCTCTTTCATTTCTCCTTCTTAGATATCTGAAGATTAACAAAAGAAAAATCTAGCCCCTGTTTGCATGCTGACCTACAATTCCAGGAATTGTACCAAAAAAAGTTTCAATAACTGCTGGGAGCCATTAGAAGTCCATGGTAGTCTGCTCCAGGTAGGTGCAACCTCATCTCCTCATGCAGATAACAAATGCTAACCTATTTCAAAACTGAGAAGAATCTCAAAATCTTAAAAATGCAAAGAAAATATCAGTAAAATTAGGCAGCAAGTTTTATTCATGCTAACTGTATTTATTCTTTATGTTTATTTATGTTTCTCTCAGAGATATTTATTCACAAACGCGCTCATAGGAGCAATGCAAAGTCAAACAGACACTTAACTTGGCTAGAGGAGGCCTCTGCTGGCAGTTGTGAAGTACAGCTTCTCACAGTTCTAGGAAATACGCATTTCTGTATTGAAAAAGCTAATAAAAGCAGACCAAGCAGTTAGATTTGCAGTGAAAATCTCCATATTAGTGTTCATCTCCAAAGCACTAACAATTTCAGCCCATCCCTCTTCGTGGCTACACCACAGCTGTCAAATTGAAGTTGCATGTATTTCCAGCTAAGACTAAAATGACAGCCTTTACTGATCACAAAGGACACCACTCCCAGCAGTGAAACTGAGGGATGTATTTTATTTTTACAGCAAAACCCAAAGTCCTGGTCTCCAACACCACACAGACTCCCATCAGCCATGGACCATGCATTCCAGCACCAGCAGAAGGGCAATAAGGTTACAGCACATTATGTGCACCACCATCTGCATCCAACAGACAGATTTCAAACACACATGTGAGACAAGGAAAAACAAAAAACTGGCTTGATGTTTATGAGTGCTGACACAAGTAATAGTCAAAAACAAATAGTCAGACCTGTAACAGCTGATAATTTGCTTATTGGTTGGACTGGAGTAAAAGTAATTCCATTATCATTTAAGAGCCCACAGAAAGAACATAAGCAGACCAATGGACAGCTGAGGACTTTCTCTGGAATTGCCAACTTTCCTATTCATCTTTTGGACCTTGACCCTGGCATCTCAGGATGGGAATAACAAGTCACGTTACCCAAACTGATGCTGTAAGCCACTGTCAACTGCAACAGCTGCCACATGCAATTCCTCTTGGGATGAGACTAGAGCAGGCAGCTAGAACTGTAGTTACATTCAACTGTTTACACAAGTAATTACCTTAAAAACTGTCCAGGATGCAAATTAAATTAAAAAGTTTCAGTGTTACATAATGCAACCAACTAATGTACAAATGCAAACCACAAATTATTTTCAGCTGAGCAAAACAGAAAAGATCTAAAGAAGAAGAGAATTTAATATTTCTCCCATCAGACCAGCCAGCATACAGCCAAACTAACATAACAGCAATGCTAACTAAAAGCATTTACTGTTTGGTATTTATTATAATAAACAGCAGAACTGCCAAGCCAACAGGCCCTATACTTTTTTTTAAATGATTCTCTTAATTCTTAATATTAACAGATTTAAAACAACAGGTCCATCTATTCTATCTTTTAGAGATATGGAGAACCTCTCCTACAATGAAACACTAAGAATTGGGATTGTTCAGCCTGGAAAAGAGAAGGTTTTGGGATGACCTAATTGCAGCCTTCCTGTATCTGAAGAGAGCCTACAATAAAGATGGAGAGCATCTACAAGATGCTCTACAAGAGCATGTAGTGACAGAACAAGGGGGAAGAACTTAAAACTGAGAGAAGTGTTAGATTAGATTTTAGAAAAAAAACCCACCTTCATTGCAAGGGCAGTGAGGCACTGAACAAGCTGCCCAGAGAAGTTGTGGATGCCCCAGCCTTGAAAGTTCAAGGCCAGCCTGGATGGGACTCTGAGCAACCTGATCTAATAAAAGATGTCTCTGTCTATGTCAGGGGAATTGAAACGACATGATCTTTAAAGTCCTTTTGGACCCAAACCATTCTATGGTATTTTTATTTATGCTACAGTTACCTTAAAAGATGTTCAGGACAGAACATGAGCCAAAAATCTTCATGGTATATCCAAATTTAAAGAACATATTTGCAAAATACTGAACAACTAAAGCTCTGCACTTCCTCTGCACAGCTACATTTTTTCCTGATGGTGTTTCAGTGCAAGTCCAACCCAAAAAAACAGATTTAATTGCTCTTTCAAAGAGATACTGTTTTCAAAGAATGACAGCTCAAATCTTCAAAGAAGGAAAAAAGAACTACCAAAAAAAAAATCATTTTACTTGTCCAGAAGAGATTGTGAAGAATTTATTATGGCCAAAATTTCACTTCATATCGATGATAGTAACTCAACACATTTCATTTTTTACAGTTAGAAAGTACATCCAAGTAACAAGAAATACACTTCAAACAAAAAAATGAAAACACTTCAATGAAGAAGAACAAATTGATATGAGGCAACTCATAGCTACACATATAAGTACACAATTTGTAACACATCCACAACCAACAGCAGAACGCTGCCAATAGCAAATGCACAACGTGGATCTTTCCTCCCATAATCTATTCCATCCCATCCCACTGGCAGTCCCTCAGATAAATAAAACTGAGGAGAAATACAAGCTTTGCCATAGAGTAGCAGATCAATGGCCCATCTTTCCCTTTATCATACTTAATGTGTGTATATGTTACCTGACCAGAAGCAAGGCCCTTACTGAGCAAACACAGAATGACAGAACACTTGTCGACACAATTAAGATATTCCAAGTACATAGAGTCAGATACGTGCCTGATCTGCCTTATTTAAACATCTGTACAATCTGAGTTAGCTGTACATGACACCATATTGCTTTAAATTAGAAACTGCAGGCAGAGAAAATATTTGATTGCCCATGGCTGCTCTCATCCCTGTGGTTAACTCAGTACACCACAGTTACTAGGCCTGAGTTAAGAAAGTGGAGACATCTCTCAATCTTCTGAGTAATTTGTTCAGGAGCATAAAATGAGTGAGTCAACCCAGCTTGAATTAGGACCCAAGGAGTTGTTAGCCAGGTCCTGCAGGACTGTGGATTTGCCAGATTAAGGAAATTCTCAGCTCTAGCAGAAGTAGTAAGTGTTCTGTTAGTGACATCAAAAACTTCCACAAAGAAGAAAAGGACTTTCCAGTACCCAGGAATTTCAATCTAGGTAGTCTGAGAAGAATAAATGCTGTTTTTTCTCCCCAACTCGAGAATTCATATACTTTAAATAAAAACATTTATTTCTAAAAATACAGATAAACAACACTAAGGCACATTACTGCAGACCTATAACTAGATGAAGATCTTAATATAAAACAGCAAGAAAAAGAAAATATAAAGATTTTCCCAAGACAGCAGGGATGTTAGAAAGACAAAGACTCAGAAATTGTGGAAAAGCAATTTTCAGGTGGAAGTCTGATTAAATCATACCCTCTGCTTGAAAGTAAAAAGCATGTATTCTGACATTATTTTGAGCCTTGAAATATAATTCTCTTTCAATGCTAAAGTAAATGTCTGGTCCATGTAATGTGCATGTACTCTGCATTTATGATACAGAACAAAAATACAGAATATATACAAAGAAAAAAGAAGGTCTTTTTAAAACAACCTAGGTTGTTTTTAAATGAATATGTATCATTTCCTTACCTTGCAAACAGTCTCTGTATCCCATGGTAAGATGGTTCTCAGATCAATAACTTCACAGGACACACCAAGCTTTTCTTGAGCCATTGCTGCCACCTCTTTAATCACATGTACCTGAAAAAACAATGTATCATCACCAAATAATGCAAATTGCTCTAAATTATACATCTGGAATACAAGCAGTAATTTAACATACCACCTGCATGTTGAGCAGGGATGTTTCTATTCAATAATAACCATTTAGTATTTACTGCATTCTTCTTATTTAGTACCAAATTATTCCCAGTATTTTAGCACCACTCCAAAAACTCAATTAACTGAAGAAGCACTGAGAACAAAATTTGCTTTCTAGAGAAGTGTCTTTCAGTGAAAAGTATCAGTCCTCACTACTTTTTTTAATTAGTTTGAATGAGTTTTGGAAGATTTTTGTTAGGACTGTAACTAAGCTAATACCCAAATACATCAGAGTAATGTATTAACGTAGCAGTCCCATGCAATCCTGCAAGAAGCATTAAATACATTCAGAAATGCTACACTCCACTACATCTGATCTTAGCCAAAAAGCCAAGATACAGTTCTAGTAGCCCCAGTAACTGCTCTAACTTACTGAAACATCGCCAAGTGCTCATCTCCAAAGCATAATTTTATGAGGAGCTAGGAGAAAAAGTGATTACTACAACCTGTAAATATATCCAGTCCTGATCCCCACAGTCAAAGCACATAGCAGTAGCACGCCATTATAAGTACTTACTGCTCTTCCAACACATAGTTTAACACCAACAATACAAATCCTGCATTACTTGATTACTACAATTAACACTCTACTAAAAAAAAAGTATTCTTCTCTAGCAGGAGGCTATCACTGAACTGGAATACAGATTATACCTTATCCACCAGTCAAGGAATCTATTTAGTAGATTTATATCTACTGATTCACTACTATTTAGTAGTAGTGAATCACAGTAGATATAAATCATCCACATCTACACCCATCCTTTACATAAGGTGTATTATGCTAAGAACAGAAAAGAAAGAAATACTCTACACATTCAAAACTGTGTCTTGACATTAGGTTATAATACACTTTTCAGCAAAATGTATCTCAAGCATTGGTTTCCCTAAAACAAATATTTGCAAGCAAATGCTCCAATATGGAAAATAAGAAATGTTACAACTCAGATTATCCTCCACAAGTATCTCAGCAAGAAGCATTTGCTCATGAGATATGCGGGTAGAAAACTTTATTAATATGAAGTTGCCAATAAACTCTGGTGCTCTCTTTATTGTTAGAACATTTCACAATACAGATTTGGATTGTGGCAAACGACCTCCATCAAGCAACTCCTAGGCATAGCAAAGAGATTGAGCCAAGGACTATCCCCAGAAATCAATTTGGATAAAGTCATCTTCATCTCGAAGGCAACAGAAATTTAGCAACCTGGACATGGTCAGGCAGTGTCAGTTGCCTGAAGGTCAGAGGGCATTAATAAATCCTACACAGACCCCAATAACAACAAAAAGGACAAACCCAGAGATCAGTTCAAAACTCTTTTGTCACAAAAGTTGTAAGATCCTCTCCTCTGAAAGCTTCTCAGATACAACTAGGCCAAGAAAACAGTAACTTCTGATTAGTCCTCACTAGACTCAAATTTCTTTTCTGTAATTCTGGACTATGAAGATGTATTTTCTTAACAGCTTTTTCAGTATTTGCAGATCTTCATCAGGGGGGGCAGGGGAGGGTCACCAATGATGTTCCTAAACAGCTTTGAAATGCAACTGTTAGAATCAAACCTATACCAATCCCTACTTGTATTAAATGTCCCATGGATTTTTAACTTTCAACAAAGGGACCCAAGGTTCTTTAAATCATGCAGTGAAGATCTATACTTTTCTTTCAGCATACTATTTTGAACTTTTCTTTCCCACTACCTTCCTCAGAGTTACATCTCACTGCCCCATTCTTAAATCTATCATTTTCATAATCATAAAAAAATCATTAGCCCGATGCACAGGTACCTGTTCTACACTTCCAGAGTCATCTTCAACCAAAAATGGGTAAAAGCTTACACAACAAAAAGCAGGTTTCATAGAAATTTAAACACTAGCAAACATTCATCCCAGCATATAGTGATGGAAGACACACACATTTTAATGTCTGGCACTTGAGTTTGAATGCAAACATCCCCTACCCCCTGGGCCAGGCTTTGCTGGGTGACAAATAGCTTTTAAGAGAGTTACTGACCTGAGTGCCCCAAGCAACCATTGTCACATCATTGCCTGTCTGCAGCACCTCAGCTTGAGACAGTGGAATGTTGTAGGGCTCTACAGGAACTTGTTCCACTGAAAAAAGAGAAATAGGGGAGAATAAGCATTAGATTCCTTTATTAGTCAATATTATCCTATAAAAACAAACAGTAAAACTTTTCTTCACTGTTAGAGCCATCTAAAATAATAGACTAAAATTTCACTGAGTATGTTACTGGTGCCCAGTGACAGGATGAGGAGCAAGGACCACAAACATAAACAGAAAAAGCTTTACCTCAATATGAGGAAAAACTTAATGTTGAGGGTGGCAGAGCACTGAAAAGGCTGCCCAGGGAGTTTGTGGGGTCTCCCTCTCTGGAGAAATTCAAAACCCACCTGGATGTGTTCCTGTGTCACCTGCTCTAGGTGACCCTGCCTTAGCAGAGGGGTGGGACTGGATGACCTCCAGAGGCCCCTTCCATCTCTAACAACTGTGTGATTTTATTAGCATTAGACCAAAGTAACTGAGTATTAGCATTCATTTCAAAGGTTTAGCTGCAATTCAAATTCTTTTTAATTACACTGTTACAAATATGTTCAGTGTAGAGTTAAATTTCTGTTATATACCACAACAAGATTATGCATATATACACATACAAAAGATAGTAATGAGTTCTGATGTACATTCAGTCAAAATGTCAGCATCAGATTTGGAAATGGACACTGCTACAGCTGATAAAAAATACTCAAGTAACCACTAATTGATCAGAATTCTTGATTATTCTAGTAATCATCAGAAGAGTCTTGAAATTATACTTTAATACTCAGACAAGAAGGATCATCTGTGCTAGCATCCTCCTGATGCTCCAAATACAGTGCTCTGCAGTTTTATGTTTAAATTGAGGTAAAAAGTTTTCAGAACCTACATAGGAATGTCAGCAAGAACTTCTGATTATAGCAGTTTTAAATAAATCTAAATATTTTTCCTTTAAAAAATGTTACCTAGTCACTAAAAATACACCACAATTCAAGAGAGAAGGCAAGAATTAGGCATCTTATCTTCTCCTAAGACATTCAACATAGCTCCATTCAAGACTCATTTATGAGTTTTCAGCTGGAAAACTGTTAAGTTAGGTCAGTTGTGCTAGTTCTGAATCAGTGCTCCAATGCACAATACATTGACTGGTTTAATGACTAAAACTATGATTAAAGACATCCATATATAATATTTTAGAAGAAATACTGGTTTTGATCTAAAGATGAGCTTGTCTATGCATCAGCAAGCCAAATAATACTTCTTGAAACATATTCTAGTGATAAGTAGAAAAAAATAAATCTTCTAAATACACAGAAACAATTTATAAAGAAAACACTCTGCCTTTTTTTGTTAACATATTTCATAGCTCATAAAATACATATTGAGTTCCTGCTGAACAAAATTGCTTCTTGAAGCAACAATGAACAATCTCCCTGAGTGATAGCAGTAGAGAAGTGGTTAGTATTTTTCTTTCCCTGTTATGGTAAATACAACACAAGTAGAATGACCTAGGTTTCTTCCTGGCTTACAAGTTCCAAATGTAACTTCAAAAAAATAAAGTAGCAAATAATTTTCAATCCAGGCAGACAATTTTCTTTTTTCTTGTTGATAATGATCTATAAATACCATGTATATTACCGAACCAGAGAATGACTCAGGTAGGAAGTGACCTCTGGAGATCACCTAGTACAAGCATCCTGCTCTGTAACAATTTTTTTAATAACAAGTGGCTAGAAAAATATAGGGCTGGGAAAGAAAGGGGAAGAAATGCACATCCAGCAGTTGCTCACTGCACATTAGTGGCAGACCAGGTTTCTATGAATTTTGCACATTGTACAACCCTCAGGCAACAGAAAGAGAACCTGAAAGATAATGAAACTCACAACTATAGTAATTGGCATTGCATGACTGTCTTTGTCATGGAATGGCCACCTACATGAAACCTGGAGAACAAGAAACGTAAAAAGATACCACAGGACATTCAAGTGGAAACCCAGGATACTGACAAGAAATAGAAGGTTCTGAAGAGAGGATGAGCCAGAGGAAGAACTAGAAGGTGTACATGCTACAGAAATAAAGCTTTTTCTCTGTGCAATGGTTTTATCCATTTAGGGAAATGAAATACAACATACAATTACACAAGTTAACTAATTTATTACTATAGCTGAACCATTCTGCACTAAAATGTCCATTAAATGAGCTCATCTATCATACCTGACAATTTTAAATGGAAAATTCAGCCTGACAAAAATTTACAGGAAAGTCCCATTTGGAAGGATTTTTCTTGATTGCTTTGCAAAAACTCCTTTCCCAACTAATACTGATGAAAAATAGGACATGGAATTATTCTATTAATATTCTTTCATAATAATTATCTAATCCAGGATAACAATGTTTACGTACAAAGCAGCCTGTTCATCTATTACTTAAGAAATCAAGTATTTTAAATCAAATGTTTCAAACACAGATTTCAAATACAGCAATTAACAAAAAGTTGTAATTATCAGTGAAAAAGGGCCATGACAATTTTAAGAGGGTACAACATCTGTTGCATTTTCTAAAGGAGCAGTCTGAACAGCAGAAAGAAAATACATGTTTTCTCATCTTACCTGCCTTGTCTCTATAACAACCACTGATGCAAGTTATATTTATTTCTACACCACCAATGTCATATATAGTACAATTAAATGAAACTGAAAAGGTCAGAAAACATCAGAGTAGGTTCTCCACAAGATGTCTAAACCTGATAATGTCAGTGTGACTCATCTTCTCCTTTGATTCATAACCATTATGTTCTCTTGACACTGCACAGGCTGTTAACACTTTTTATAAATCAAAGCCTCTTTTTCCTTTTTAATTCAGATATTTTCTTAGTATCTCTGATATTTAGGGGGACATCACTACAGCACTTTCAATAACACTATGATCTCGTAAGTTAAATAGCAACAGAATTCTCTCTTCACATGTGTACTTGCATATTTAACTCTAGATTTTCACTCAGAAAGGTTTACTATTCTTTGCTCTTTCCTAGTATAACTGAAGGATAATTAACATACACAATACTTCTGATAAACACTTGTATGGTTATGTGAAAGAGAAAGCATCTGCTCCTTGAAGGGTGTCTAGAAAAGGATCTTTACAACATAAAAGGGGATAACAGGAAGAGAGAAAAGCCATGAGGAAGGACATACAGGGAGAGAGACCTTACCACAAAGGTTGAGAGTTGCAGTTACAAAAACCAAACCTGCTCAGTCCCACTTATTGATAAGGGTGTGGGGCATATGGGAGTGTTTCTTTCACTAAAGCTATCTGGTGGGATGATAAAGAAAAAGGAGAAAAAAACTGCAGACATACATGAAGACAAATATGACTACAACAAGAAACAAAGCTTGTCAGGAACACTCAAAGAAGGGTTATAAATTTTTGGTGGCTGGAATGGAGTGGAAGTAGGATTTTTGTCATTATTTTAGTTTAATCTTTTTGCTTGCTTGTTTTAAACAAAGCATTATTAGCTTCAGGCTTCCTGAATAAGGACAGATACCCTGCCTTTTAAAGACTATCCCACCTACAGTTTCTTTTCAACTGTAATTTCAAATATATCAACAACTCTCAACAAAAGATCATGGACAAATACTTAGAGGCCTCATAGGAAGAAAGAAAAGTCCATTAGAGGAAAATGATGAGGCTCAAAAGCCTACATTAATTTTACAGATAGAAAATCTCCTTTCTCATTAACATCCTTAACACCTTAATTTTTCAACAAAGTCCCTACACACCCACTGTAACATCAGTCACAAAGCTCTCTGAACAAACATGTCTATTCACATGAAGCTAAAAAAAAAAGCTATGGTAGGGGCAATATAATTTCATTATTCAATAACTGAGCCATCATCATGGAAATAAAGAAACTTATTTTCGTCTGGAACAACGAGATCCCAAATCTTAGGTGAAGTATTATACCATGCTAAAAAGGAAAAAAATAAAGATAAATTAAGTAATGGAGGACAACTGATACCATTTTGTGTTCTTGTTTTGGAAAGCCTGCATGTTCCCAGCCTTCAGAAAACCCTGTACTGTTTTGAGACACTAATGGAAAGCACAATAAATACAGACATAGTTCAAGCTTACTGTCTAAGTCAGAAAATTGTACAAATTCAGAAACTTTCTCCTGCTAGAATCAACACATTCACATGGGGTGTTGTAAAAATTTTCTTTAGGAAACACAAGAAAGTCACATTTTTAAAACCCTTCTTTCCACCATTTATCTTATTCTTGTTTAACAGGTTTGTGTCTCATTGCTGCTGCATCTTGATCTTATCAATCATGATGGCCCCAGTGCATTTCTGAATTCACCAGGTCACCTGGTTTCTACGGTGGAATTACCAGAAACCCTGACTGTGGCCAGGAGAATAAGAATGAACTCTAAGAGAGACCAATTTTATAGGAGAAACTCCCAGACAGCAGTCATCTTCCAGGCCAAGCTGACCTAACCCACAAAGGATAGTAAAGATGACAAACCAATGATAACATAGAGGAAGGTTCACAGTGGAAATAAACAGAACATAAAAACCATTGCAGAAATAATAAAATAACCATGTAGATGAAAGAAGTTACCTGTTACAATCATCCCTGTCATATGTACATATAGAACATTTGTTGATACTGTACATACATTTGCACATTTGTACATATAAATTTCAAATTACACCACTAAACTGATGTTCTTAGAAATTTTAAGACAAAAAATATTGGTAAAGTCTCCAAAAATTAGCCATCAGAATGCAGGAGGAAATCACTGTCTTTCACAAATTACCAACAACAGCAATGCTGTGGCTGGTTACTGACCAGCACATACATCACATTAAACACTATTTCAGCACATCTTTACTCAAGATTTCCATCACAAGCCTGATTTATATTCAATAAATGATCCAGTAGTTGCTTTACAAGTCATTTCCTCAAACACAAAAACCTCCTTATATTCTCAAAAGCTGTGTGATTTTGATGTGCAGCCTTTCATGCCAACATAAAAGCAAGTATTTTATTAACTCTACAGTCTATACTTGTGACTTGTAAATATGGGGGGAAGGGGGAGAAAAAAAGGCCTGCTTTAAAAACACTTCATTTTTTTTCTTTGTTTAACAGGACTCAGACTCAGGTTCATTTTTCAAACTACTTTTCTCTAAATAAATGGACAGAGGCCCTTCAGTTGAATTTTAGTAAGCCTTCAAAACACACTGAACTTAAGGAATGCAACACCCTATGGATACATCACACCCACCACACTAAAAATAGCTGCACTTTTAAATTTACATTGCTATTGGGATTTCTGGGCTTTTTTTTTTTTAATTTAAAAGCAAATAAGCAGTTTTATCAGTAAATATCCTATTTGATTCTGAGTTACATTACTGTTTCTTTGTAGTTTTGATGTCTGTTTTCTAAATTTTTCCCTTATTACTGTCTGTCTAGGAAGAGGATAAATTCACTGACAAAATGGATGCACTGATGAAAAAGTGCTTTTAAAAGGTCCAAAGCAAAACAGAAACATTTTGTCTCTCACTCAAATACAGTCCACACAGATCAACTTATAAACTGGACTGATGGATCAAGCAGAGTTTTCATATAAAGCCACAGGACAGGGAAATGCTACAGGTAAGTCAGGGCTTCTGTTCTATTTTATCAGTTCCTCATCCTATTTCTCTGCCTGTCTCCACATGCAAAAATTTTAACCTGTTTTCTGTTCTGTCAAGTTTCTCTAGTCCAAAGAGGTAACCAGCTAATTTTTAGAACCAATTCAAACACCATCATTGTCAATTTCCAATGTTCCAATATATTACATGTAACTGAGAGTTGTTAAAACTACTCTGAATCAGAAAGGTCACTATGACTAAAAACAAAGTAATGGCAAATCACATTTCCTTTCAAATAAGGTTGAAATCTAAATGAGGAGATTTTGAAGATTTTTAGAAATTAGGCATGTCAAAGAAATTTAAACTTTGAGAAAATGGTGATGGTGGGGCTCAGTTCTTTTGGAGAAATAAAAACTGATCTGGAATCTTATTTTAGTTATTTAGAGTTACCACAAGAAAGCAGTTGAAATTCTGCCAAATTTATACTGGAATTTGATAAAGAATAATACCTCTTAGCTCTACTTCTTTTGTTAATCTTAGACTGTAAAGCATTCCAGTCTTCCAAAACTAATTGAGAATAATTGAGGATAAATCAGACCATAAATGTTTATCTTTGCAGTCAAACTTCAAGAATTTATTCAGTTTCCACCATTCCTCTAAAAACACATCCCACTACATAGCTAATGTCAAGACTTCTACTGAAGCATTGTTTTAGCTGAGGCTATTAACATATATGTGCAAAAAACCCCAAACATTGTTGCTTTATTGGAAAATACAACATACAAATCTTTACCTGCAGCTCTGTAAAGTATTTTAGGTTCAAAGAATATGCATGGATTTTTATCCTCTATGCATGACAGCAGCAATCCTTTGGCCTGCAGAGGACTCCTTGGAATAACAATCTGTAAAAATATTTTTAAATAGTTTAGTTAAAATAGCAATTCTGCTAGAAACTTCCTCAGCAATACTTAAAACTAAGCAATTATTTGCTTTAAACAAATCTACATACAGATTGAGCTGTTCTTACAAAGTGAATTTACCTCAGTGCTACATTATTAAAACACACTCCAAATTTTGAATTTTATTTTGTTCGCTGATAAGGCTTCAATAGTCCCCTCTATACAGTGGCTGAAATACCAAGGTACTGTGCTCAGATATGGTAGAACTAACATCTTAACAGTAACATTTGAGGTAAAAAGAAACAGAAGAATGTCAGTCAGATTAATATACATATAGACATAAACTTAGTGAAATTAATGGAGATGTACAACAAAAAATGCAGTTGAATGATCCTCAATTACTTAGGTAAAAATTCATCAGAACAGACCCTAAAGGTATTCAGACTTAGTCCAGTAAGTTTTGAAGACTACAATATGAAATAGTTACTTAAAGCTGACTTTTTTTGCTTACAGTAGAAGCTTGAAATTTGTTCATTTTGGAAATAAATAACCAATAAATACCTTAAATCATTATCAAGCAAAAAAAAACCTAAGGCCTCCAGATGTAATCCAAATACTAGGAAGGAAACAGTATAATTCATTTGCCAACAGAAGAGTTAGCTTTGGATGATCTAAGAGAATTTCAATTATGAAAAGAAAATTACCAAATTATCACAGTTTAAATGAAAATAGAACCCAAGAGCCAAATTCCCTCAAATCAAAAGAACCAATTAATTTCCATCCCAGAGACCTCAAAGAGCTGCAAAATGCAGCATGAAGTTTACCAGTAAACACTTCTGTAGATGTGAAGTTAGAAGTCACTGAAAACATTAGTTCTAGCACTTGTTAAAAAAAAAATACATTTTCATTACAGCCATGGCGTCAAAGTATATTTTGAGAGTAATATCATTTATTTATATAAAAATAATATAAAAGAGTGAAAATACAACCTAAATCTCCTATTACATGAAATTAACTTGAGAAGTGATTTTTCTAAACAAGGGAGAAGCAGTTTATTAATATTTCACCAAAGCATTTGGTAACAGACACATGGGAAATTACCCACATTAGTACAGCTCCTTAGGAATGAATCATTTTTAGGACAGACTTTATTTACCTTATTCATTTACGACGTTAAATCAGACCATGGCAATGAAGACTATTCCAAAGCTGGAAACCACTACACTAGAGAGGATGATACTAAAAAGACCCAGTTCACAAAAACAAACTAAAAAATACATATTGAAAGTCACATGTTTAAGGACTACATTTTTGTTACAGATTTAGAACTCAGGAGTAGAAATTCAGATGTGAATTTATTATCTGCTCAAAAAATGACTAGCATACTATGCAGTTAAGTCCTAAAAAAAAGTAACATAGCCAAGGAACTGTTAGTGCTATTGTAAAAATCGCTGCTGGAAACTCAACTGGAATACTTAATGTTTCTTTCAACCCTTTGAAAAGAAAATGAATGAAACAGATGTCAAAAGAGCTCCAGATACTGTTAACAATTCTTTGATTCTTTGATTTCTTTAGTCTAACAAAACAAAGACTAAAGAGAGTACAAGTGCTTTAGGCTATAAATGGACAGATAAGTTAAATTTACAAGTTAGTCAAGAACAAATTTAGGCTGGAAATCTAAAAGTAAGCTTCTAACCATGAGAGAAAATATTCGTACAAGGGAATGCAAAGAATCAATAATAATGTCTTCCATGTACACTCTCACAACAGTGGACAGAAGATACAACCATCCAGTATTGTTCTCAAACCCCAATAAGCTTTCCCTAAGTACCAATGACCACAATCCTTCCCCTGAATAACTAAAGTTGCACAAACTCCACTTGGCTTAAGCAATCCAAATTCTACCTGCCACCTAAGAAAAACATAAAATAGAAAGCCAGAAACCTCTCACAAAGTTTAATAAGAAGGTTGTTTTGAAAGCCACTCTTTCCAAAGATCAAACCTTACCCTTCTCAGCTTGTAAGACACTGACTTTCCTCCTGTAATATGGAGAAAGTATGCTTAGATACGGGACATTCGAAAATGCATCTGAAACACCAGTTCATTTTAACTTCTTGATTTCTATTTTAAGGGCCAGGGTTATTCATAAATACCTTCAATCTTGAAACATTATGAACTGTACCAACAAACAGCTTTGCAAAAAATATTAAAGAACAACATTGTTTTCACAAAGCAATAATATTCAAAAGATAGAGTCTAAAGCACTTCTGTGTGCACAAAAAGCTAGTTGATTGCTCCATCAGCTCCACAGAATTAATGTGCCTTTAACTAAGATGACAGATCGTAGTGGTAGAAACCTATTTTAGCATTTTACCCAAGGAAAAGTGAAAGAAAGTGAAAAACGAACAGAAAGATCAGAGGTGGGAACAAAGAAATCATATTACATGGAGTGACTAAATAAAATTCTGACTTACTAACTTGTTCATAAGACTAGCCATCAGCCTAGGTAGCTGGTATGAATCAGAAAGAGTATTAATCACCAGAGTGGACCACTAAACCTCATCCTTTGGTTTAGTATACAGAAATTTGAGATTGATCTACAAGATCAGCAGAAATTAGCTGGACCTGGAGTCAGTATTTTAATTATCTAAGCTATGTTTTGCTTTCAGACAATAATAAACTACTTTAGTTTTAAACAAGCTCTAGAAAAAATTTGATTCAATAGCCTGGCAAAAGACTTTGTAGATGGTTTTTGTCTATAATCAGGAAATACTTTCAAGTTCAGAAGAGGACCTCAAATACCATAAAGAACACCCAAAGACAAGAATGTATCCAATTCCTCAAATAAAATGAAATAAAATGTGAATAATACAGGGGGGTTTTTTTTAAGAGAAGAACAAGTAGTAGAAATGGCTATGGCCTCCCTGTAGATGAGTAATATCTGAAGCTTTAGGACACCAAAATCATACAGAGACAACAGTATAAACAGCAGATAAACAATGAACATGTGTCTTTAGAATACAAATACTGGCTCTGCTTAAATCTTCTGCATTAATCTGCCCTGAGTCATTGCTCAATGGACTGGATGCCAGCTAACCCAGAAGTACAAGTTCACAGACAAAAATTTGGTCAGGAAAAAATGAAGAGCCGGACAAATTCTCTTGGTCTGAAATGATTATATCCTGTAGTCCCTTTCTCTAGGAAAGTTATCCACCCAAGCACTAGGTGTCTTCACTTCAAGGGAAGCCACCATCTTGGGCAGAAAGCTTGTCTGAAGTTCTCACTCCAAAAATCACCAAGCAGTTGAGTTTGGCAAGGACCTCCAGGGGGTCATGTGGTCCAATGCCCTTGACCAAGCAGAGGCATCCAGATCCAATTGCCTGGAATCACATGCAGACAAATTCTGAGCACCTACAAGAATGGAGACTCTGCAAATTCTCTGAGCAATCTGTGCTGCCTTGTGTTCAGAAAGAGCCTCTGGTGCTTGTTTGTGCCTACTGCCCACCACCGTCTTTCATATAAATTAATGCAATAATGCACTTAAGAGAGATGCAGAAATTAAAAAAAAAATTAAAGGAAAGTACTACTTTTTGTCAGTTTTTAGGTTCTGTACTATATTGGACACAAAACTATGTAAAATGTATCTTAGTAATGCAAAAAAACAGACAAATACAAAATGCTATGTGTACTAAAGATTGCTTCAATTATGGCTAGAAATTTTCAAACACTTAACAAAGTTTAAGTTTTCTAATAGTTTTTAATTAACATATTCTGAAATTTTGTTCTGGATTGACATGTCCTTTTCTTCCCCTCTCTGCACTCAGACTCATTGCTAGTCAGGTCCATTATAAAACAAACAAACAAAAAAATAATCTTCATAAAATAAGAGTTATTATACCTTTATTCCTGGACAGTGAGCAAAAAAGGCTTCTGGACTTTGAGAGTGATATAGTGCACCATGACCCACACAGCCCCACGGTGCTCTAATGGTGAGGCTTCCACAATTGAACAGATCTCCAGAGCGGTACCGATATTTGGCTGCTTCATTAACAATCTGGGAAGATTTATATACAAAAGTAACATTCAGTCCAATCCCTCTAGTTATGCATCAAGACACTTCAATACATGCAATGTAACTACATCATCTGTTCCATGCATGGGATTCAGAGGATGACATTAGAAGCAAAGGAATACTGTAAGTCAGCACAAAGACAAATATTTTCCAAGGCAAAAAAACCAATGATTTTTTGTGTTCAAATTAGATGCCTAGGCCTCAAGGGTAGCCTTATAATCCAGTTCTTTCATCATTCTATATTGTCAATCAGCCCAGTCCAGATCTGTACTTTGTCCTGGGGACACGCGGCCAGCTGCAGCTGTATGCAGAAATGAGACTGTGTTCAGAAGACATAGGCTGTTGACTTTATGGCTGCTGAAGCCAACACAGCCACAAAACCAAAAATTAAAACAAACAGACAGTTGCCTCAAACCAGATCTTTAATTTCCATTATTTAATAAGCCTTCAAATTGGCCATGGTACAGTTTAATGTTTACAGTACAGTACTAGCACTGTTTGCAGTTTACGCCTGTTTACCTAAAGCATGCATAAATATTAGTAATACAGCTGTGGTTATATTTGCAAAAATTACATATTCAAACCAAGTACTAATGCTAACAGAAGAGTAATTTAAACAGATGTAAGATTTATTTTAACTGCTCTCAAATTTATTAGTACTAACCTGATCAAATGCTGGAAAAATGTAATCTGCAAATTGAATTTCTGCAATGGCTGTAGCACCTGTAACAGCAATTCCAATACCAAAGCCAACAATTCCTTGTTCACATAAAGGGGTGTTGAAAACTCTGTCTTTACCTAATAAAAAAAAGAAAAAAATGCACAATTCCTTTAATACAACCAGCTCTAAGCAGAAAACATTGTCCCAGAAATATTTTACTTATAAACAAGTCACATGCAATTAAGCATATCGCTGTTTAGATGGGCTTTTTTAGGTGCAGCAACAATAACCATCCATTACAGGTACAGATACTTTAACTTGTAACAACTTAGAGGAAGAAAAGGAGAAACTGAATGAAAGTTAAGAACAGTTCCTGTAATTTACAATGCTCGAACACTTGAAGGAAAATTTGTTCTGAGGTATTCACATTTAAACATGCACACCCCCCATGCTTATATGGGAGTGAACAATACTTACAACCATTTTTAATAGTTTACAATAAATGTAAATGTTGCTTCTTCCATTTTTTTTCCAGGCACTGACAAGTAACTGTCCCTGCTCAAAGGCAGACAGATGCCCAAGGGCACCTGTACAAAAGCACACTGCCTCTGGCCCACACTCCCCATCAGCAGTGCCCATTCTCACCACTCTTCTCTCCCAAGGTAAGGACACATTTACATAAGTTGCTTTGACCCCAAGGAACTGCAGTTCCTGCTACAAACCCAAAACGTTTCCTTTCATTTCTCCCCTATGGGAGTGCAAAATTTCTGTGCCACAGTAATTTCTGATCCCAAATACGCATCAATCTAATAGATGACTGCACACAAAATTGTTCAGTTCATGAAATTAAAAACAAGAAGGAGTGGGAGGGAGATAAAACACCACTAAAAATCCTGTATAAGACTTATTTACAATATTTGCCAGCAGTACTTTTCTGCCAAGGGAGTACAGCAGAAATATCTTGGTCTGCTATTAAATCTTCCTTTTAGAACACTGGGTAGACAGTAGGTTTCTATAGGAATCCATCATGCATGAAAATGCCAAGACTTCAAATTGGATGGAAAAAATGTGCACAGTGCACACCAGTGGCTATGAAATAAATTAAACAATAACAAAATAATCATGAATCAACTAACCAAAAAACCAGACTGAACTAATAAGTGGGAAAGCTGTTACTAGCCGGACTTCTAATTTCAATATCTCTAAGTTCAACTATAAAAAGGAAAGCTAACAAAAGTTTTCAGAAAGGGATGATTAGGGAAAAACCATTGTCCAAGGACTTGCAATATACTAAAGAGAGGTATGTTTTACAAATCTTTAAAGGACACATCTTCCATTTTCACAGGTCACCCAGCACACCACTGTCACCCCTTGTACCCTGTCCATATGCATGTATGAATATATAGATATATCAGTGAATATGTTTTTGGCTCTCCCTCTGCTTTCCTTTTTTTTTCCCTCTACCAGCAACATTCATTTAAAGCAAGTAAAAAAAGAAATGCCATCAAATGATACTACAGTGTTGGTGGTGTCAGTGAGGCTACACAAGCCAACACCAAGTCCAAAGAGCTGCCACAATTGCAGGACACACCATGATTTCTCATACAAGACAGTGGAAACAAAGAGAATCCAAGATTAATTTTCCCTCTAGAGGGACCCTTCATTGTGTAAATTGTTCTCATTCCTGAAGGAGCTGTAATCTCAGTTCCTATATTGCATTTTCTGGTGCATACTCTCCATCGACAGACATCATGGCCAAAAAACAGGAAAAACTTCCTGTGTAAATGTGTAGCTGTCCCAGGCCTTACCACTACAACTGTTAAGGTGCAGAAGCCCTGTACCCATATCCATCTGTAACACCATAAACACTTGGCAAACACTTCCTTCCCTCCCTTTTATTTGTCTAGCATACCATGAATTAGCCATCTTGATTCCCTTCTCTCGCACTGACACAATTAATTTTAACTTAAAACAAATCTTATTTTATTAAACTAAAAATGTATTAACAATATAAAGACCTATGGTAATGCTGGTCGTTTTCTTTCCTACTTTCTACTTTCCTGCTTCTTATAAGTCCATTGGCAGATCACTATTTGTCACTTCACTTGCTTACAGGATATTTTGATCTAAGGCTTATAGCTTACCTAACCTCGTTCTTTATTAACAGATTTTTCAGAGTACACTGAAATAGCCTAATACACAGGTTCCATAAATAAATAAAACTCACACAAAAATTGAAATGTATTTGAACAATCCTGTTCAAAAGGAGCTTTTAACTAATAATTGATACAAACTTGAAAATTAATTATTTAATATCAATTTAGGATGGTTAATTAATTTAAAAGCACGTTAGCCCCACCACACTAGCATGTAATACTATAATTCAAAATATAAAATACATCCTAATAAAACTGCTGAAATACTAATGAAATATTAAATGAGAGGTATCACATTGCTATCAATGGAGTATGATGACAAAGGAAGTGAAAATCATAAAAGCAAACGTGAAATGTAATGAGACAGCTGTAATGTGAAGAGTAAAGCACCTAATTTGGAGTTTCAGGACTAAAGGTACAATTCTGAAGCACCATGACTTAAAACAGAAAAGAGTAAGTAAGGGAACTCGATGAATGAAATTTATTACTCAGGAATGGTTTTGATTGTAGCATTAAACAATAATACTGACCACTTAAAAGAAAATCCTAAAGCACTTTACTACATATTATATCAGAAAACAACTTCAGGCAGAGTTTTGAGGAGTAGGGCTTTCTTTATAAAATCTAGCCCCTTATGACAAAAAAATATACACATTGTTAGGGTAAAACAAATATATTAATTTCCACAAACATTAAAATTGTATCATGTTGCTTTAGCCTTCTATTTTTATTGATACAGCATGAAAATCATTACTAAAACTAACACAACATATTTAAATATTTAGTATTTAAATGCATTAAGCCTATGTATTTTTATCTATTTTATTTCACATTTTCTTATTTTTCACTTTTTTTCAAAACATGAAAAGGAAGCCCATTTTGACAAACCACCATTCATACCACCTTCTGCAAACTAGTTGAGTCAGACTTCAGCTGAAATCTGACTGAAGCAGACAAACAACCCAGAGATACACTTTGTGTTTCCATATTTCATTTCCTTACCAACAAAGAAACACTTCCTAAAATGTGTTCCTCCTATGATTTGCGTCAGCCATACAGCATAAAACAAACTACCACCAGCTCAAGGAGGTGACTTGTAAGCCCAGGTGAAAGCAGCAGCTCTGCATTTTCTGCAGCCAGGTGCGTCAGCCCCGGCAGAAGACATTACACTGGTGTGCATTGCAATTAACCTGCCTGGCTTCACAAACACCCCTGGTTCCAGCCACCTGAACAGGTCAGTGCCCTTTGCCAGCTACTGAGGGAGGCAATATGGCAAACATGGAGGGTTATGGGAAAAAAAGGGATGATTCTTCTCATCTCTCCATCCCAATAACTAAGGAGTAAGACTAGATGCATGTTCAGGAAGTAAAAAAAACACTCTAGAAGTCTTCCCTAACAAAGAAAATCTGAAATTATGAAGAACAAACATCAAAGAAAAAAGCAATACTCGGTTCAATTTTACTTAAATAAAAAGGAGTGATCTTTGTGATTTTCAGAACAAAGATTATCCCATGAATGTTCAAATTACCACAGGCCCTTTGTGTAAGAGACAAAAGCTTTAAGGCAGTCTCACAGTCATCTTCTCATTCGCCAGGAATAAAGAGTTTCATAGCAACCTAACAGAACATGTTTACAGACATTTGTAGTCAATTATTGTGCATTAATGTTTTGGCTGCTTCATCTCTATTCGTTCCAAGCCATCAGGAAAAAAGTATTTCAGGATTCTGCAACAAGTCATGTTCCTGTCTTAATTTAACTTCAAAAATGAGATATTCAAACAATATTAAATCTCCTATAATGTCAACACACCACCCAATGCTCCAACTCTGAGGAATTTTATATCACTCTGCACAAGTCCACCCTGGACCATTTGGGTGGTTTAGGGAGTACTGCTGGTGATTTAGCCAAAGGAGAACGGTGCTTTGTTTTCAAAATACAGCTACATCACTGGTGCTAAAAAATTGCATAACGCATCTTAAAAGATGTCTGTACTGAGCAGTATTAACAATATATGTGGAAAGCATTTCATTTGTCTCAATGATCTCACTGACTTCCATTTAAAACATCCATAAGAAGTCAAATAGAAAAGTCTAAGAAGTTAAATATATTAGGAGGTCAACCAAAGCAGTCAGGCTCCACATGCAGGAAGAACTGGAAAGAAAAGATGAGTTTTTTTGGTACTCACCAGGGACTTTGTGTAGAAAATTCAAATAGGAATTATTAATTCCCAATCAATCCTGCCTTCAAAGACCTTTTTTAACCTTAAAATATCTAGGATTTTTCACAGATGTACTTCTACATCAGTCTACTAATTTTATTTCTTAATATATTTAAAACAATCTATCCAACATTTAAGCTTTCTTGGTCCCATCATCCCTTTTAATCCCATTTTACAACTGGTGACACTTGTAGTCTTCCATTTCTCTGATACTATGGAAGAGGGCAAGCCAAACAGCAAGTAAATTTTGGAGCTCCTGGGTTAACAAAAGTAGTTCTCACAACTTACTCATTTTAATCATTTTGTTCTACCGTTTTTTTCTACTGATAACCTAGTCACAGTTCTCCAGCTTTAAAAAAATAGGCCCTGCTGCTCTGAAGGGAATACCAGTAAATATACATTAACTTCACAGTTTAATATAGAAATTTCCAAGCTACTTGTCCAAAGCAGGGCTTCAGGCTCACTGACACAGAGACGGTTTAACTCTCAATCTTGAAACTTTGCACACCAAATGCTGTGTTGTTTAAAATGCTGCTTTTTCCAGAACTATCCATGCTACAGTACTTCACCTGATGAAAAGTGATTGTATGAAACGGATTTCATACATTGAACTTCTAAAGATGACTTTTACCTACTGTGCATAGAATAACAAAACTTACAGAATTTAGCTATATTCCTCTCCTGTTCTTCCCTAACCCTGTATCCTGCAAAAGTCAAGAACATTTGTGTGTAACCAAACATTCATAACAGGCTTCAAGGACCC